GATCCGTCAATCGAGATACCGAGGTTCTCGGATATTGAGGACACTCCAATAATCAAGGATAGGGCTGGGAGTCTATCTGTTTATCGGATTCCAACCGAAGATGGTGTGACAGTGAAACTGCGAAAAGGGCTCCTTCTTAACATTACGGTCGAAACAAGTGACGCGGTGAAGGGCAGATTGATGCAAGCCCAGTTTGCAGTAACGTCCTCAACGAACATGAGATTTCATGCAGTTGTATCTTCCTTCTTTGTTTACGATGAGCCAAACTGGACAGAACCGCAGGCGGAGTCCAATTCAAAGCGTACCAAAACGATGAAGACGAAGAGATCAGAATCTCGGGCATTCCTTCCCAGTGACATGGTCGTCGAACTTGCACTCCCAGGACAGCCAGACGCCGAAGATTCGGAAGAACCAACGCAAACACCCTTCCTTGTGTATAGGATGTGGAGAAGACAGAACTGTGATGACGACTACGCCACCAGCTTGGTTGTATCTTCTGAAAGAAATGTTTCGAATCTCACCGGAACGAATAGGGGCGTTTACAACCAGATGTTTGACAAAACCGTAGTGAAACGAGTATCTGCCGATGATAATCCAATGAACAAGGGTCATCGCGTCGATGCGGAAAGCAGTGGACGTTTGGAAGATGGAAGAAAGTACGTTGTGTATAGAATGTTTCTGTACTCTGATGGATTTACGCCGTACATTGGAAAGAAAGGAAGCATGGGTGGTGTATACATGCTGCCAATAGGTATGGCTCCGGAGAACCGCAATGGAGCAGGAGCCATCAGACCTATCGGGCTAACTCCTCCAGGGGTATCTACAAACGAGGTACTGGCTGCAATTATTGATGATATCATTGAGGGGACAGAAAAGGGATTTGAGATGACCACTGCAAAAGGAGAGAAGGTTGTTCTTTTTCTCGATGTCGTCGGGTACGTTGGAGACTATCCTGCAGTGTCCCACACTTTGGACCTACTAGGGCACTGCTCCAATGTTCCATGTCACTTATGCAGCTATGGTAGGTACGACAAGTCTGGATTTCAAGGAAGCAAGTATTGTTACACAACCCGCATCCATTCCGACCATCCATCTTTCGCGAGAGATGAGAACCGGGCTACTGCATTGAGGAGATCCAAGTTATCCAGGGAAGAGTTGAAAGCCCTCGGAATGGATGACGCAGATACGTTTGAGACAAGTTTGCAGGCACTTCATCAACTCTCTGAGAAACTGCGACAAGTTCGCGCTCGTGTGCCTCGTGTACTCGGCAGTAGCAAACCGGTTGTTCCTTCTGTTTTCGATTCGTATCGCTCATGCGTTGTGGCTCCCGATCATCTTTTTCTCGGGATTGGTCGCGACATCATGAATCTCTGTATAACACTGCTACCAAAAGATGTACGCAAAGATGCCGAGGCAATTGCCAAGATGGCTTTGAAGGATGGCTATCTCATATATCAGGAGAGCCTAATCAACCATGACAAGCATGTGCTACATTCAATGACGATATCGTCTATGTACTGCCTGCTCTTGGTAGCACCACGGGCGATGAAGAGTGCTTGGTACGTGAACAAAATCACAGGCGAGAGAGAGAGCGGGAACTGTGCTACTATCGATGAAGCTCTCGACCTCCTCGACCTGTTTTCCTCTCTCGTGAGCAGAACGCAGTACTTTCCGGACTCAAGGATAGATGGTAAGAGGTCATTAGACACACACAATGAAGAAGGAGGAACCAAGAGACTTCTGGAGATTCGTAATATTGCACTTCGTTACCTATCTCGAGTAGATAAGCTGTGTCACACAAACAGCTTTGCCTCCACTCATTTGGACAAACCAAACCTTCACAGATTGTTGGAGTTCTTCACACATACATTGCCACTGTTCGGTAGTGTAAGACATGTACAAGAGTTGTTGTTTGAAAGCGCTCATCAGCCATTGAAGAGGGGGGTAGCTCAATCCAATATGAAAAACTCACAATTACAGGCTATGGAACATCGTCTTGCCAACGACTGGAAGACTCGTCTGGCAATTGAAACTGAAGGCATTGACACTAGTGAGAACGGCTGGAGCTTTGAGACAGCGAAGTCGGTTTTAAATCTCTTGGGCTACGACAGTTCTGGGCTTCAGGATGCGGGAAGATTTCTACAAAAGCTTCAGGACTGCTTCCCAACTCCTGTTCTGCAGAACCTTCGATTACATCGGAAAGAACTCTTATCGTCGTCTCTCAGTAGGAAGGACTGGCGCGTAGACAATTCAGTAATTATGAACCTCGGAAACACTGCAGACGGAGGTCAACATTCGGAAATGTTCCAATCAACTGACCTTGCATTTCTGTTGAAAGCAAGGGAGTTTTTAGAGCATTTATGGAAACAAAAGCTACGTCTTAGAAGTGGCCGGCCGGACCATGGAAATTCCGTAACCGTACAGAAATATGGAACTGCCAAGTGGTGCAAAATAACAGACGGGCGAAAAAGAGACCAGACATCTGTTTTGGCCACTGTATCTTATGGGAGCGTGATTCAAGCCTTGCATTCTTCTGTAGTTTCGACCGCAGATCCTGATCTCACATTCACTCTTCATGAGAACAATGATTCTGAGCATGATGAGGACAGAAGGTTCTGGATGGTGCTAGCCGTGGTTCAAGTCCGGATTCTGGACGCTCGTGAGAAAGAAAGTCAAAAAACAACACGATATTGCGCAGTGAAGGAGTGCGAAGCTGAAGAAGATGGATACGGGGTGATGATACAACAACGAAACGAAAGAAGAGCGCTGGTTGAGCTTGGAAGCTACGTTCGAAAGGCATTAGTTATGCACTACTGCGAGCAGGACAGCGCCGAAAGCGACGACCATATGTGTCTCATATGCACATCAAACTCAGCAGTACAACATAGGAGTCTCCCAGACGGTGGAATTTATCAAGTGTGGGGGCGAAAGGAAGGGTATCCGCCACGTCAGGCATAAGTATATGTGCGGAACAAGAACTCTGGTCTTTATTCAACAGTTTTTAGTACTACCACACAGCTCTGCATACTTTTATGCACTGACTATAAGCTCTGCGCCGGCCTCTATATCCGTAGTTGCGACATATAAACTGTATCGTTATTGCAAACAAAATTCAGGTCTGCTACCTTTGTGGGCTTGTTGCAAGGGGGCACGTTATGTATCCCCGCCTTTCGAAGTCCGTGTCCCTACACCTCTCTAGTTCCCGCAGCCAGTCTGATCCTTAACTTTTTCGTTTCCCTCACCATACACCCACTCTCCTTGTCAACCGGTGCACCGTCATTGCTGTATAAAATTTGCAAAATTTGGGTGCAAATTTTGAGAGTTAGGACCGGTGATCAGTGGGGAGCTGTGATCAGTGGCCACTGATCACAGGCCGGCAGGGGGTGTCGTCCGACATCGTCATTGCTGTATAAAATTTGCAAATTGGGGTGCAAATTTTGAGAGTTAGGACCGGTGATCAGTGGGGAGCTGTGATCAGAGGCCACTGATCACAGGCCGGCAGGGGATTCAGGAGTAAGGAGTAGGATGGTTTTTGTACTTTAGGGATTCGCAGTGCTTCGGAGATTTAGAGGAGTCGGGGAGTAACTAGGATTAGAAGATTCGTGGGATCGGCTGTTGGAAACGTGATATCCCTGTTTCGGGTTCTCCAGGTACGAATAACGTCCGGGGAGGGCATGTTGTCCTTCGTCTGAAAACCGCGTCGACCATCATTGGCAATGCGAGCAATGATAGCTCGCAATGTATAATTGTTAATTGCAAATCCCCGGGAGGCAGTGTATTTAATGCGCTGCTTAAGGATTTTGTCCTCGTCCGCTTTGACGACCCGGGGGGCTCCGGGACGGTTGTTGGCTGGGTCAAGAAGGCGGGACAGTTTGTCGTCGTCCTTGGTCTTGAGACATTTTTGTAATCGGTCTGCTGTCCCACGACTGATGATCATCAGTGTGGTTCGCCTCACAGTCGACTGTGAGGCGAACCACATCGGCAACCTTTTTTTCATCTTCAATAAATTTATCGCTGTCTGCCGTTTGTCTTTGGCCCTTGCGTCCCGTTTGTCCCTTGCTTGGCGCGCGCTGCCTGGCGACGCATTCCAATCGACATCGGAGGGGGCGTGAATTGTCCGTAACTGGAGGTCAATCCCTGGAGCAGGACGAGAAGGTGTTTGATCGTGGATCAATTACTACTGTTTGGCCTTTAACGGTGCTGTGTGCCCGCCATTTTTTTGGCGGGACGGGGAGAAGCGAGGAGGTAACATTTCGGGAAACTGGAGGCCTGTTTCGTGAACATGACGAGAAAGTGTTTGATCGTGGATCAAATACTACTGTTTGGCCTTTAAAGGTGTTGTGTGCCGGCTATTTTCTTTTTTGGCGGGACGCGGAGAGGCACGGAGGTAACATTGCGGGAAACTGTAGAAGAGGTGAACGCTTAGGCCCCGGAGCGTTTCCCTGGAGTCCAGGGATGAAAGACTGCACCCATTGTCCGCACTGGCAGCAACGAGAACTGAATCATCAAATTAGCCTATTTTACCAAATAATGCTTTTAGGGAAGGGTATACCGCGCAGGCCTGCATGCGCAGACAAGTTCCTTTGGAATGACATGAAATGGCTGTCGCGCGGCAAGATTTACAAAAGCTGTATGGCTGGCCAGCCATACTGGAACTAGATTAATTTTTGCTAATTTTTTAGAGGTTGATTCTAGTATGGGTGGCCACCCATACAGCTTTTGTAGATCTTGTCGCGCGACAAACACATCACACGTGTGGACCCAAATGCAATGTATTACACGTGTGGATCGATATGCAATGTTTTACACGTGGCGTCAACCTTGAAATCAAAACTCTCACACTGACAGTGTGCATTTTGTGATGGCAGTGTGCATTTTGTGATGGCTTTGTGTGAGTTGTGTGAGGGCATCACGAAGATCACATATAAAAGGCTCTCCATCTCAAATGGCAAACAAACTGAACAACGTCACACAAAAAATATCTCCCTTTCCAGCCCTGTATGGCTAATTTCCAGAGACACTTCCCCTTCCCTTCGTGTTCGCAACTGCGTACGTTGAACCGGAATGTACTGCACGAGAAGGTCAGTGGGACCCAAACCTACTGCATACTCTGTAGTGGGGTCAAAAGACGGACAAAAAACGGGCCCAAGACACTTAGAAAGGGCTCGCGCCAGGTGCAGTGGTGTTCGACATGTAGGCAAGCTATCTGCTGCAGCTGCCGGACGGTCTGGCATTCTCGCCCTACACTGAAGCGACATGGGCCCTCTCCTGTCCATGAGAGGGAGTTTGACTCTGGGCGACGCACTTTTCAACGAATAAGGCAGGCTTCACAAGCCCGAGAGTGAAGGCCGTAAAATGTCTGTAGAACAAGGCTATCAGCTATGCTTTTTGGATGGGTTTGTGATGGTTTGTTGATGTTGGAGATGATCGTGAGACAATGGTGTGAGAGTCACAAAACAATTTGTGTGTGAATCACAAAACAGTCAACAAAAGAGCACTTCGAGATGTTGACGTCACAAAAATGAAGTGAAATTCAGAAAAACAAAGCGAGATTCACCAAACTTGTGAGAATTTTGAGACGTTTGTGTGCATTTTGTGAATGTATGCCCCGATCACAAATTAGGACCACCCCACACTTTTCGGGAGGACACTTTCCAAAAAAGTACGGGTCTCTTGGAGACAAAACGTATATCTTCTTAATGACAACACAATTTTGTGTTTAAAGAACCTAGTCTCGGGACGTAGCGCTCAACAAGACCGAAGCAGGACGAAAATATCCCGACTGGGGCAAAAAATAGCCGTCACAAAAATGGAGCAGAGGGATATAAAGGAGGCTCAAATGCATATATTTAGAGACAAAGCACACTGCTAACACAAACACAACAAAGCCTGTATAACACAACTAAATAACTTCATCCTTTGAGTAGTGAACCATGCCGGATGGTACACGTGGGCGTATGATAACCTGTGCCAGAGGGTGAGCCATAGCTTTATATAGAGGGAAACACTACTAAAGTAGGCACTATTGAGCGACCCTGTAATATGTAATGGCTGTCGCGCGACAAGATTTACAAAAGCTGTATGGCTGGCCAGCCATACTGGAACTAGATTAATTTTTGTTAAATTTTTAGAGGTTGATTCTAGTATGGGTAGCCACCCATACAGCTTTTGTAGATCTTGTCGCGCGACAAACACATCACACGTGTGGACCCAAATGCAATGTATTACACGTGTGGATCGATATGCAATGTTTTACACGTGGCGACCAAAATGCAATGTATTACACGTGGTGACCAAAACGCAATGTTTTACACGTGCGAGAAGCTGGTGGATGATGATTGGCCGATTATGATAGGGAATCGTATACAGTGCCTCCTACGATATAGTGCTATAGCGTGACATACCTCTAGCTATGGCACTGTTGGGGGGATGGCACTATATAAAGGAGGCTCAAATACATATATTTGGGGACAAAGCACACTTGTTACACAAACACAACAAAGCCTGCATAACACAACATCCTTTGGTCAGGGTCTCCTTTAAGACAGCATGGATAGCTGTACTGCGTACTGAACCATGCCGGATGATACACGTGTGAGCTTATGATAACCTGTGCCAGAGGGCGAGCCATAGCACTATATAGAGGGAAGCACTACTATAGTAGGCACAATTGAGCGACCCCCCCCTGCAACCGGTCCGTTCTGCCCAGAGAAAACCCCCCCCTACTTCGCCTGCATACACTGTAAGTCTGCAACGTGTGCGGATGTTCACACACACCCGAACACGTGCAAGGCCCAGCAAGAGTACCTTCCTAGTAAACCTTTTAGAAACGCAAAAATCGCAGCGAGCAACGACAAAGTGCTCAAGGCAACCCTGCTTTCTACAAGAGCGTTTTCCGGCTACCGCAGAGACATTTGAAACAGCTTCAACCGTGTTGTACTTCACTGTTCGAGTAGAATCTTCGTTCCATCCTTCAGCATGGAGCCAATGACTGACCGCGGCTTTCCAAAAATGCCAGAACCAGGCGGCCGAGCCCATACTTTGGAGTCCTCAGCCTCGATGTGCTGGACTCTTTTATTCCTGGCTTACTCTTCTTCGACATTTGTCAACGAATTTGGACATGGATGGCAAGCAGCTTGGACGGTGCTATTAGTTTTGGTTCCAGTGTGCCTCGCCGGTGCACCCAACATCATGGACGGTCGCCGCCGCGCAGTCCCTATATTGGCAATTTACGTAGCGTATATCCTCATCCCGTCACTGCTTCAGCTCACAAAGCCAGACGACCACTCATCGCTTCGCTCCGAAATGGCCGACCTGATTACCGTTCTTTGCATCTGGCTTCCACTGGAATTTAAGCTGTTGTCATCGGACATATCACCGACTGGAAAGGTTACAGCCTGGGGCTTGTTCACCGCAGCTTTGACAGTCGTGAACTGCTTCACAATTCTACGCCCTTTTCAAAGCTGGCCCACGCTCGTGACTTGGGCTACACTTTCAAGGTAACCCCAGTCGATGTGCTGATAGCGCTAGCTGTGGGTGCTGCCTCTGATCTCATCACCGTTCCACTTGCCGCCCTAACCCGGTTTGCTGACGTCAAGACGCCACCTCGTTTAGACGCGGCCAAAGAAGCCGCCACTTTCCTAGGCATATTCATGAACGGCGTTACCGAGGAGCTTATATTTAGGGGTATGATTCAGAATATGTTGGAGCAACGCCTAGGCCACGGGTCCATATCTGCACTACTCATCGCGTCTGGTGCCTTCGGCATTGCACACTTAGGGAAATCAAAACTTGGATATGACCCGCCAAACGTTCGATACATGGCCTCCGCCTGTGTCACCGGTGTTGCGTGTGGGTTCGTATGGCGACAAACAGGAAAAGTCACAGCTTCCGCGCTGACGCAGGCCACGTCGAATTACATTATGTGGCGCGTCGCGTTAAGCAAAAAAGTTGGCCAGTAGACAGCGTTTTTTCGCAGCTAGAGTCCCTGTATAGCACTTGACAATGATTTCCACTCTTAAACTCACTGAGCACACTCTAATGCTAGTCTAGTTCGTCCCACAGGTCATCGTGCTTGTCAATATCGACCCATTCTCGGGTAGGGTTTTTCGTGTAGAGCGTGGCATTGAATTGTCCAGGTCGCCCATATGTCTCTCCATTAGCACCTTCGAAGCGAAACGGGTTACTTGACATGAGCACGCAGTTTGACTCCTCGCCGGGAAAAGCCGGAACAGAGATTCCCTTTTCCAAAAGTAGCTTTGAGGAAGATGTCGACCAGCTATAAAGTGGTAGCCCCCGGCAAACACATTTGATCCAAGCTTTGGTGCTTCTAAAGACACTAGCACTTCGGGTTTGATAAACGAATCTGCTG